TTCCTTCCTTCCTTCCTTCCTTCCTCTTGAACCTTAGCTGATGCAAGAAAGGCCCCACTGAATCACAGACCACAACTTTTTTTTTGTTTCACGTTAATAAATGACCCAGTAGCAAAGCACACAGAGTTTCGGAGACCTTTTGCTGTTCAGAAGTGCCCCCCCCCCCGTCAGTCACCTTTTTTTCCACCTGCAATAAACTCCAGCTCCGTGTTGCTCCTTCCACAATGTTCTAACAAACTTTGTAATATGCAAACCGGTATATTTGGTTTAGGTTTATTATTATTATTTTAAAAAAATTATGTGACAGTCATTTTCCCAGGAACTAGAGACCACAGAGCTTCCCAGCTTGTCACGGGTGTTTGAACACTGGCACTCCTTGGCAAAGAATTTGGGGAGTTTAATCAGCCATTTCTGACTCTTTCCATTATTGCATTCGATCAATACGACTTTCTGCACTTTCTGCAAACCTGTTCCCCAGAAATGGTAGTTCAAGACCAAAGGTGTGCTGGCAGGGAGGGATGGGCATTGTAGTCTGGGTTCACCCACCCTACCAAGCCATGGTTTCTAGAATAAGCCAGACACAGTAGTCTTCACCCAGCAATCAAGCCACCAAGTTTGCAAAAGGCACCGGGGGCATTCATGCAAAGGGAGAAGCCTGCCATCTTTGAGATGGGTGGCCACCAGATGTGGGGACTTCAATTCCCAGAATTCTCAGCGACAGCCGCTTGGAGCGGGATCTGCACCAGCGTGAAAGCTGGGTTCAGCTGCGCTCAGCCCAACCCGGGGTTTAGCGTATTGCATGAACCGTATCGTCCCATAAAATACCTGGAGGGAAATTGAGGCGGGGGCAGCTGCAAATCAGGGGGACCTACCATCTTCTCTGCTTCCTCCACAGACTCTTCCCAAAAACGGTGCCAGGCCTTTCTCTTACACCAACCCTGCCATGGCCAACGATGACCTGTAGGGGGCGCACTTCCTACCGCCGGACTTTGGAGGGGGGGATCGGAAAATTGAACTCGGGCAAGGAAAGTTCATTTTTTGGACTCCGCTGGAACGGCTGCCAGGCTCCTGAGAAAGGGGGGCTATATTTCGGCTCCCCTTGCCCCTCCATTTGCCGCGAGCAGGATGACGGATGGTTCTTCTCAGGGGAACTGGGTCTCTGGGCCACCAACGAGCTGCCATGAATGCGTTGGGAGCAACGCCGAGACAATGAGGACTAGATGCTTTTAGCGACTTATTGACCCCGCTGGCCGTTTCCTCCCAAGCAGGGAAAGGAGCACTCCCGGCCAGTGGAAGTCCCTGCCACGAGGATCTCGCCGGGAACCCAAACCAATGAACTCTCTTGGGCTGGGCGCGTCCACTCTCCGGAAAGACTTCTTCACTTTATTAATTTATGGCCAATCTTTACGGTATTAATTTATGTGGGGGGAAGTCCCCTAGCCGGAGAAGGTGCCCCTGCGTCTCTCTTCTGCCTTTGGGGAAGAGGAGGTGGAGGTGGAAGGTTTTAGGGGGCTGCGATTTTGTGGGTTTTTCGTGGCCTCCCCCCTCCCAGTCCCTCACCCCCCTCGAAAGGAAGAGTTCCTGAGAAGCCAGCCTTGGAGACATGAAGGAACGGAGCGAATGAGGTTCAAAAGATGGGCG